GTTAATAGTTCAACTTGTCAGCAAAATGGCAGTCAAGCCTAGATTTGAGAGTATGACCTTTCTTGTACAGAGGCAGGTCAGCTAGCCTTAAATGCATGAGGCTTTATTAGCAGAGGTAGTGGCAGGGGTACCTGAAGGGGCAGAGAAAAGGGAAAACTTCTCCCCACCAGTGAGGTGAGAAATAAGGGACACCCAGGCAGGTGTCCTCCTCCTTGGAGTGTCCTCTTGGTGCAGCAGGTGGCATGTAACACTGCTGAGCGTGACCCACTGGGAGCTTCTCAAATGACCCATTGGTTGTTTTTGCTTATGATGCTGTTAGTATCAATCATGTCACACTTGATGTGGTGCCTGAGCTGCATGCTGATTGTTTGCTGTGCCTTGCTCATGTCTGTTATTGGGTACTGTCTGTTGGATAAATAAAACGCCATTACCCTCATAGGTGCAGAAGTTGCCTGCTAAAAACTGTGAGGGAAAGGCTGAAAAGCTCTTACAATGGAGCTATAGACTGGAAACTAAGATGTCAGGAGGCAGACAGGAAAAAAGGGATGAGTTAAAGATGAAAGGCAGACATTTCTGATGTAAAAATAATTCAGAATTGAACAGTGTAAGGCCATAAGGACAAGAACACTTGGGACAACAAGATAAAGGCACTGCCACATTTTCCCTCACACTAGGGAGATGAGAGCTTAAGGAGATGCAAGTGGAAAGCATGCTACAAGATTGGAAGTAAAAGGGTCTTGGTGTTAGAAAAGATAAGGCACCATGCAACACCCTCCATAGAAAACCATGGATGCAAAGGCTTTAAATGTGGCTTCTTAAAATGAGAGGCTTAGCTTGGCAGCTGGGAGTGGCATTGCAAACAGATCATGAAAGAAATATGTTGTCTAAGGGATGTGTGAATGCTTGGAGGGGAATAATTGCACATTAGGAATACCTGGACAGTGGAGCTGTGAAGAACCACTACCCAGTGTGAGCCCTTTATAATTAACAGGCTAGATTTTCAGCTAGCACATGCAAACTGCAGCCCAAGAATGATGTGCTGATGTCAAGGTGTATAGAGTTATGTGATAGTGTCTTCTGTGAAAAGCAGATATTGAGCTGAGGGCTTGTACAAGAAGGGCCAAAACTGTAGCAAAACATAAAGAAGACTCTGCTCTGGCATTTGGGCTGGTTGAATCGATGATCTGAACAGTTCTTCCAAGTGTGCAGACCGTCACATCCTAAATTCAGGAGATTTTATTGTCATTTGAGACAGTATTGAGAAAATACCCACTGCATTGAGAAAAGACTCAGTATTGAGAAAAGACCTGCTTCTGGATAGGTGGGAAGAGAGTGCCCCATGGTGCGTTCCAATTCAGGCTGCATGGGCTGTATTGATGCTGCTGTGCAAAATCTTGCTCCTGTGTGAAGCTCCAGTGTTGCTCACAGTTGGACAGTGGCGAAAGCCTAGGGCCAGTCTGATTAAATGTGGATTTTCTTTTTAAAGAACAAGTAGTTTTTGCTTGGGGCAGTGGAATACAAAGAGAATCAGCTGTGAGCAGAACATCTGAGGCATGTCTGTTATTGGATACTGTCTATTGGACAAATAAAGAGTTATTTGATTCTGCTACAAGGTGGGGATACTCCCATCCCGGCATATCCTCACACTCTCAGTGTCAAGTGACTTGGTGTGTTACAGCAAGAGGAACTAGGGAGCTGCTGTGGGTCAATGTGCCCTGTATGGGTGAGCAGATATAATGTGCCCAGGTTGAAGGGGCTGCACTAGACCTGACTGATTAGAGGCATTTATGTTATGATGTTGATCTTCATGGTTTAGGGTTTTTTAAACTTTATTTTACTCCAAACATTACTTTTTGCCATATGCAGGATGAAACCTTCTTGAAAGGGATGAATGTCCAGCCAGCCTGGCTTGGTTTGAGTGTCTAAAAGAGACACTCTAAGTGATGTGGTTTGGCTCTTGTGCCCTGCCCCAGGCTCTTCTTTCTCATCCTGTTTTTCTTTAGCAGTCACTGCATATCTATGCAGATCGGTGCCATTGTCTAGAACAACATGGCTTACTCTATACACCCTCCCTTCCAACAGACACTTAATTGTGGTCATACTTCTTGTCCTAGTCTCAGCACAGCTCTGCCTAAAAAATTTTCAAACTTGTAAAAAAAAAATTTTCAAACTAGATTTAAATCTTCCTTTGTTTTGTTTTGTTTTGTTTCATGGTTGACTTTGCAAACTAACAGTGTTTATTCTCTTGGGCTTGGGGCTGGTCACAAGAGCCTGCATTGAGATATTCAATTATTTAGTGTCCTTTTAAAAGAAAAGGTAATGTATGCAAGAGAGATATAAGATCTGCTCTGGTGCCCATCTCAGCAGCTGGGATTTTAAAAGAACATTTTTATCAGGGCCCTTGCATTTGTGGTGCCACCATAACAATTCTACCCAGAAATCGATTCCTGTGTTTTCTAAAGGGAAGATGAAATTATTTTTACAAGTGAGCATTATGAACCAAGAGCCTTGTCACCTTCCCCTCCTTAGATTAGTTACTGCAATACATTTTCAAAGCCATTTTTCACTTTCTCATTATGTTTGACATTATTGTTTCCCAAGCTTGAAGATTTGCCTGTTTCTGACCTCCTGGACAAAAATTACTTACAGGGATAGATTTCAATATAACATCTTAGCCAGTTTTGTTTTGATCTCTTTCTCCCTGTAATCTCTGGCACAAAGGAGAAACTGATTAGAAGTACAAAGCAGTCTGCCAGGGATGTAATGTAACATTGAAAAGCAGTAAATAATTTATAAATGCTACACAGTAAAGTATTCTAAATTAATCTTCACTAATTTTGTCTGACTGTGGTAGGGAATGAAGATGATGAGAGATATCCTCAGAAGTGGTCACACTAACCACAGTGAACAAAAATATTTTAGGTTGGGCATATTTCCTGAGAGCTGGCAAATCAGAAGTATTGCTTCTACTTTATGGATACAGATTTCCCAGTAATTACAGTGTAGATAAAGATACAGATCTCTTGCAAAAAGAAAACAGAACAAAAGACTAAACCAGATTTACTACAATGGATTTCTATTAGGAGTCAGAAATTTGCACATGCAGCCTCACTAATTTGTTGGGTTTGGGTTTTTTCTTTTTTTTTTTTCTTCATGATAAGAGTAAGACCTAGCTGACCTGTGCTTACAACTGAATTGTTTTGATTTATTTGGGATTCTCTGGGTTTTGAAATCTGGATACTGACTGCATTGTTCTAGGACACTGTGTAAAGCATTTGGATACAGTTCAATTTGTGTTTGTTTACGGTGATATTAGACGTTAAGAGGTTTATCCTGATGCTAGCTTCTTTGCCAAAAGCTCCAAAATCAGAGATCACCCTGCATTTCACATAGCTCAGCAGACAGAACCCAGGCCTTGTTCTACTTCTTATTTTGAATTCTGCCATAGGTTTGCTCAGTGAACCAATTTAATAGTGAAATTTAACAGTGTGCCTGTTTAGTCCCTTTCTTTTTTTATTTTCTTTTTTTGTTTGTTTGTTTTTTAAATATTTCTTGACAGCTGGTTTCTTTGACAAATGTTTTTAACACTTCGCTCCTCGATAATAGAAGACGACCTAGCTTCTTCTAGATAAGTACAAAGCAAGGTCACCCCTTCTATCACATATGGACCTCTTGCACCAGAGGCAGCAGAAGCCATGCTAGTCTGACCCCAGCAGTAAGTGGGAAGGCAGCTGGAAATTTGTACATGTAAGGAGTGAGTGGAATAGTGGAGCAGTACTCTCTGTATTTACCCTGTTGCTGTTTCACATTACTGAGTGGTGTTTAAGAAGAAATGAAAATCTTTCTAATGGGATCTAAATGAGAAGTGTGGAGTAGCAGAAGGTGGTTTCCTGGAATGAAATTAGATCTGACAGTTAGGATTTAACACACTCTTGTTTTGCCAGAAGTGTGTAAGATTATTAAAGCATCACAACCTCATTTATTTGCTTTGTAATCTGCTCTTAACCTTCATGCTGATGAGGCTGTTACGTAACAGATATCGAAGGCCAGACCTTGTGTTGTTTCAGCGTATGGGAGCCCATGCCCAGAGAACCAGTGAGGCCAGGTGAGAATGCTGGCTGCATTTTCACTCTTACGTGGCAAGCTTGCCTTTAGGCTGTGGAGAGCATCCCTGAGCACACACACTGGTGTACCCTAAAGGTTATGGTATGATGCTATGTACTGTCACTGGAACACTCCTGCTTTCAGGAAGCCCTATGGCAATTCTTTTGACAGGGGTACTGGCCAACCCATTCTCCTTCAGTACGTTTTGGTTGCATACCAAAGCATGTGTGGCTGCTGTGAAGGTGTTCACTGTTTTCATTAAGTATTTTCATTAAACAAAAGGTTTTTTGTCATCAGGAGCAATCACTGATTCAACTTTAATCAAAAGAGGGATTTAGGTGATGGGGAGAGCCCTTGCTGAGCTTTTTAGCAAGATGAAACATTGCAGTAACCATGCTGTTTGCATGCACCTGTAGGTTGGGAACACGTGTTGAGTGCTAGCTAAACTGACTGTGGTCAGGGAATGCCTAGCTTAAAAGTGCAACAAAAGTTTGGCTCTGCATGAGAGCTCCAATGAACCCATCTCTAACGAAATCAAAGCCAAAAGTATTTTCCTCATTTTAATGGAGGGAGAAATGTTTCACCTGTTTAGATGCTTCAAAATTCTGCATGGTATCTACTTGGACCTTTAGCTGCCTCAGCAGCTTTATCCTTTTCCACCCTTACAAGCCCAGACTCTAGCTAGGAGTGCTGCAGGACTCATTTGTTACAGTGTTTAGATCTCACCTGCCATCAAAAAAACCCAGCAGTTCATAGTGACTGAATTCCGCAGGTCATCCATAAAAACAGCAGTCCCTGCTGGTACATACCACATATTTCAGGCCCTTTCTCAGTTCTGTTCCTTTGCTTCATCAGGAACTGTAAAATAGTTTTTGTTAGACAAAACCAAAGCATAATTTATTTTGCATTTGAATCTTTATTCTACAACACAAACAACATAAATAGTTTATACTTTTTGTTTTAAAATATTTCCATTTCAGAATTCAGTCAGAATAAAATATACACAAAATACAATTTGCAAGCCAGCTGACAGTGACTGCCCGACCACTGGACACCCAAGGACCATACAAAGCTAGCGGCACAACAGGACGCAGCAGACATAGGAAGGTGTTTTTCTAAAGAAGAGCAGAAAGGTAGAGGGAGGAAACATGGATGAGACCAAGGAATTGCAGCTAGGTATCAAATTAGCAGAAGGTAAACCCCATGTAAGCACTTGCTTGACAAGGTGATTTATAGTCTCTCTTAAAAAATATTATTGGCTCCTCCTGAATATACAGCTAGAGAGATTAAGTCCTGGGAATCATGTTTTGTGGTAAAATGCTTCCTGTGGCAGCCATCATCATGGAAATAAAATTTTTATTTTTTTAATTTTCAAACAGGAAAGGCTTAGATCTTTGGTGAAATGGAGTGTTCACTCCCTTTGGCTTGCCTTCAGTTCTGGTTGAAGGGCCCATAGAAGTATGTTTGCAGTCTCACAAATAATGACCAAAAGTGGGGAGAGAAAAGAGGCAGAGAACAGAAAGTAGGAGGAACTGAAAGAAGGTGCTTGCTACTGTCATTGTGTACTTCTCAATCTCTTGCTCCCATCTGCACCAGCAAACAACAGGCAGTACAGGGCTTTGTCACCACCATGCTCTGCCATTCCTGGCTGTTTCCCCTTTGGTATCAATCCTGCCTTCCCCTGAAGAGTAGGTGGCTCAGGAACCACAGCCTGCTTATGGAGGTGATATTTGTCCCTTGCTTTCACCTGTGTACCTGTGCCTCTCACTGCAGCTTGCTTCTTGTGAAAGCATGGCACTTCAGTGCAGCCCAGATGAACCAAATGCATGGATAGGAAACAGGGCCTTGGTTCTCCATGGTATTTAGATGAAATTTATGGAAGTACATAAACTACCTTTTGAAAAGTGGGATGTTGGGGTAAAAGGATTGAAATAGATCCTGTTGCCATGTTTCTTAACCAAAAATGCTTTCATAAATCCTGATTCAATGTGGCAGTGCACACTATGCAAACCTCAACCTGTGATTTTGCCAAAAACTGGAATTTGAGGGATCTGGTTCCACAGGCAAGCTCAGTATTGCATTAATCCAGGATCATACAGTGCAGCTCCACTAATAACCACAGAATTAGGGCATTTCTTCTTCCCTCTGGTTTTAATTTTCAGCTGGGAGACCTCTGACCACTAAGTGAAAAGACTGGTGCATACTTAGGCCATGTGTGTTTTCATTTTTTATTTTTAAATATCCAGCACTGCATGTTTGGCCAAATCTGTCTGTTTAGTATATTAGTGTTACATATTAATTATATGTTCTGAGGGGGATTAGTGGAAACAACAGAAAGAGGATATACGACTTCTTCCTTGCAGCTGTACAACTTCCTGGAGTCCCAGGTGTGTTGCTGGTGAGGGCCACTAAGAGACCCTTTATCATATCCCTATAGAAGCTCCACTCAAAATAGGGAGTTTCAGTGAAGAGGGATCACTAGCTGCCGGATGCTGTTATCTATATTGCATAAAATCCAACATTTGTGCTTCTGTGCTATGGTAACTTGGTCCTTCTATACTTACAAAATACGGTTAGGGTTTTTTTGTCATGTACACAGGTCTTTTCATAAATGACTGTAACTGGAGTAATGAGTAAGTAGCCTGCTTAAACATGATCTTAGTACAAAAGCGGGAAAAAAAAGAGAGCAATTCCCTTTTTTTGTGAATTTAAAACAATTTATCACTGAGAAATGGCATGTCTAGAATGGATTGCTAAAGGTGACAATAACCAAACCACATGCTCAGTTTCTCAATTGGCTTCTATACAGATGAGGAGGTAGGTAAAAAATAAAACACTTCAGCTTGTTTGGGTCAGCCTCCTACTGGATCTGTGCAAAAGCAAAGGTTCCAATTTTGCAGCACTGGGATGCATGGGACTATGTGCTGGTTCCTGTGGATTCTTCAGGTAAGAGCTGTATAGGGGACAGCAGCAGAATGGGTGATGTGAGGAACTGTACAGGACTTACCCTTTCCTGAGAATTTGTAAACCCGTATGTAGAGACTAAAGGATTCAAGGACCGAGTCCTGAGTAGTGAAGATGTCTAGGTACTTAACTTCCATGGATTTCAACAGCTTTGGCACTTTGTACCTTTCTTCACACGTTAGGCCCACATTCAAAGTGCAGGCAGCACATGGAGCTGGACCTCTCTACTTGCTAGTTTGTTTGCTGCTCGGTTTTACGCCAGTGCTGTGCCAAGCTCTGAAGTGTCAATACCAACATTGAAATGCTGCTGTATCAAGTACAGATGATGATTACACACAGTAACATAAGGTACTTAGAGGTGGGGGTTATATCTTTGGCAAGTGAGAATTTGTTAGTGAATTTAGGTTAATGTTTAGGTTTTAAAAAAATTTGAAGCTCAACCTGAAAGGCAAAGCACCTTACAAGTCACAGGTGTAAACTGTGCTTGGCCTTGGCATGAGCCAGCCATAGTGCAGAGGACATGAATTTTTTATCTGTGATAAAGCAAAAAACTGTGTTGCCTGTGCTTGGAGTTGTACAAGGAAAGTTTTGCCTAAATCTTTTCCTAGCAATTCTTTCTAGATGCTAAATTAAGTCAGTTATTCTCACATGAGTGTTTATCCCCAGGAAAATATTAAATCTGTATCTTAACATCTTAACGACATAAAAGCATGTTAACCAAAAGATAGTGGTGGTAATTCTATGGCTGATGAATGTTTAGAAAATGTACCAGAGTAACTGGGTTAACCAGTGCTGGTGTGATATAAGCACTTGGACAGCATGATAAACATACTACTAATGTGGATTAGCTCTCTGTAAATCTGCTGAATGCTCAGAATATGACAGTGACTGAAGCTACAGGTATCTGTAGATACAGGCATCAATCATCTCATACATCTGCATGTGTTCACAGTACGGAATAAAGTGCAAACACATGCAATGGCCTGAGATCATGTAAGCTGGGGTCAAACCTTGCTTCTGGTATGTAAGAGAAGGATCACTTTCTTGATGAGTGCTCTGCTTTTGTCCGCTTTAAATATTTGCACAGTGATGAGCTATTTCATGTGCTTAAAGGTAGTTGATGATGGACAACAGCAACTTTCTCTGTTAGTGGTTGCCTACAAGATTTGAAAATGAGTGTCCTTGCCTCTGCTTGCTGCAGTGACCCTGAGGAGGGCAGTGTGAATTAGGCAAAGGCAGCAGAGGTGCAGCTCTGGTACCTGAGAAGGATGTCAAGCCACCAGAGTAAAGCTGCCAAGATGCTGCTGTTAGCTCATGGATTAAGTTATAGAGCTATAAGTGAGGATTTGAATGGGTTATATGTGTGAGAAAGACTTACACGTGTACAAGGGCTACTTTGTGCTACTGATTGAGGTGCTTCCCCACTCACAAGTGGAAAGCAGAAAAGCTGCTGTAGCGTGGACATGTAGCTGGACATGACTGGGATGTTTGGGAATCCCCTCCTGAAGCTTATGACAGGCTGATGCAGCTTATGGCAGACTCCTCCTTTGGGCTAAAAGCTTGAGGTTGAAAGGTGGCAGCCATGAGCCATGAAACAGATTGCACAGATCTATGAAATAGTGACTTCACATGTTTATTGTTCTACTTCTTTGGGGCTTGCTGATGTCTATGGCTAAACTAGCAAAAAAATTGCTGAGAATCCAATGAACTAACTCAATTTTTTTATTTGTTTATAATTTGAAGGTGCATCGGAAGGCTTCTGCATCTCAGATTAATGGTTACTGAAGTGGCCCTGGGCTGCTCTCCTCACCTGCTTATCATTTAACACATAAAGAAAAGGAAGAGCAGAACATGCTGAATTTTGCTATGTAAAGCTTTCTGCTTCAAACCCCACACCCCTCCTTTTAAATCACGTTTCTGGAATTACTCGAAGTTACTCATGACCTCTTATGGAGGGATGTTAATAAGAAGAGGCACTGAGGGTGACAATGGGCACTTGGTGCACAATTTGAAGGACGATGTTTAAAACAGGGCAACAGCAGTATAGCAAATCTACTCCTCATTTTCCAGTATGGTAGTTCTAGTGTAAATAGTTGAAATTAAATTATATTTTAGGTCAAGATGGTGGCTAATCAGATAATACTAGGTTATACTGTTCATGACTTGAGAGAGGTGGTAGTAGTATTGTCACTCCTAGAGCTTTTTTTTCTGTTTTGCAGAAGGATTTCGTATTGCAACCAGAACACATAGGCATAGTGTTTCCTAGATACTAGGGTCTCTTCTGTAGTCCTGGGTGATTTCACCAGTACTGCTGCCAATTTTAGTACCCCAACGTAATCTAGGGATTTTCTTTAGTTTTAGATCAGTACCACAAGGATCTGCATCCATTCATATAATTTATAATGAAAACCTGGGTTTCTTTAAATAATCAAAACCTGTTTTGCATATGGTTTATTATTCTGATTTCTGTTGTTGCCTAACTAATGTACTGCTTTAAAACCAGTTCTATATAGATGCCCAGTAAAAACTTGCACAAAAAATATAACCACTCTACCTAAAGATGTATAAGAAGGACATGGCAACAGAACTCAAACTGTGCTACAACTCTCCCAGATACCAAAGGCTAATCTAACCTGTCCCCAAGGAAGTATTTAAACTGTTGGGAGAAAACTGACAATTGAAAAAATTGTTGGTCATTTATAAATTCAGTTTAGGTGGTAGGAAAGAGTTGTTTTTATGGAACTTTTATGTCCTTTAAACAGTTTAGCAAAGAGAAGTTTCGAAAGAAAGGGAAACAGCATGACTGACACTACAGAAATTTATGGGACAAATATTCCCTGCACAAGTCTAACAGGTGACAAATGGAAAGTAGGCAACAGAGGTAAAAGGCAGGGGGATACTGGCAGACTCTTTGTAAACACAGCAGCTTGGGTGATGGCTGTTCAGTGAAGCCTCTTGGCTCCCTCGGGTTTTCTAGGTTTAAGATGCTAAAAGCAGTTAGTTGTGCAAAATCCAGGCCTGATATAAAGAGATGACACTTTTAGAATGCTTTGGAGCGGGGACTGAAGCTGTATATTTAGTTGGTATGCACATTTTAAAAGTCTTGGGAGAACAGCATTAAGGGGTCACCAAAGATTAAAAATCAACTTATTTTCAACAAGTTATTTCAACTCTGATCAACAAATTATGTGGCATGGGAGTTCCAGATGGAATGTCCCAGGGGCCGTGACATAACTTGTGCAGCAAGGTAACCCTTTGCTGTGTCTAGTGCGAAGAGCATCACATATGCATTTGACAACACAAGTCAATCCTTCCCCTTCTCCTCCCTCTTCCTAATAACAGCAAATTGCAGTAGTCTCTATAGGAGTGCTGCACAGAGGGGGATGAACCTCCACGAGGAGCAGCAGGTAAGAAATGGGAGAGAAACAGGAAAGACTTTCAGACTATTTTCCATCTTGCTCCAGCTCAATGTGAAATGATAGGCTACATTTAACAAAGGTGATAAGGGTGTTCCTGGTTACAGCAGCTCTATATAAGCAAACAAATTTCCAGTAGAATCATAGCCACAGTGTTGCTTAAACTGGAACACTTTATCCCTACTCTGCTTAGTTGAATGCTGCATACCGGCACATGCTGGTATTTACTCTGTGTTGTGTCTTCCCCACAGCTTCACAAGAAACACAAAACAAACTTCCCTTTTGCCCTTAGGGGGAATTTGACCTGTGAAAAAGTGGTCAGCTGTAGGCATAGCTGAAGAGGCAGCCAGGGTAGCACTGGAGAGAGGGCAGCTCGACAGTGCCATTTCTCTTCAAGCAATACCCCACGAGAGCAATGAAAGGATCAATAGTCTGTGCTTGGTTCACCAGTTTTAGACCTGGAATACTTTAGCTACTCCAAATGTGACCAGACTTCAAAGGCTCTTCTTGGAGCAAAATCAATTTCCACTTTCTTTAGTAAGTGATGTATATGGTTACTATAATAGTCTTTAGTTGCCTATCCTCTCTCATGCTAATTTTTGAAGGGAAAATGTTATCCTAAAAAGTGTCATGTTTTTCCTTGTCATACAGCTCCATCTTTTTCCTGACTTGCATTTATTTATTTATTTAAGTTACATAGGCTTACTGACCTGGTTTGACATCCACATGACAGTTGCATTCACAGCTAATTGCAAGTGTGTAAGTTCTGCTGCAGTTTCTTGTGGCTCCCACTGTCGCAAATTTGAATTAAAATGAAGGGTACTAAATCTATCACCCCTTCAGGTACCAGCCTGACTTACTGGTAGTTTCTGGGTTCTGAGGCCATGCCAGACACTTGGACAGACTCATGTTTTGCCTCCTTTGCTAGTGTGAGCGAGGAACACACAATCTCAAGTGGATGACATAAATCAACAAGCTCATTGTTTCTTAATTTACGACCAACAAATAGGCAACTAATGAACCCCAAATACTTCTTTGCTGTATACCTTGAATGTCTTTTGCCCTTTGCAACAGAGCACTGCTTGGTTTAAATGATGATATCGTAAACTCGGCCCACTCTTCCCAGCCATTCCCGTACTGCCTGGCGGACACGGATATCGGTCACATGGCAAGTCAGCTGGCTGATACAGGGGAACACTGCTGGCTGCAGGGCTGTGAAAGTTTGGTCTGGCAGGGCCTGAATCTGGTTGAGAACTGTCAGCACCATGTTGGTCCATGCCTATAAATAAGTTTGACAGAAAGAAAAGACTCTTTAGAAGACCTTTCTAAACAGATGAGCCCATTGGTTGAGGCACAAAATAAGATATCTAGTGGCTACAGCCTCATGAAGAGGACTGAGTAATGCCAGCATATTCATTTAATGTTCACTGTGTTTTCCTAATTCACATTCAGTACTATAAGTAATTGTTTGACTTTGTATTGCAGGTATCATGCTCAGCCTTCATCACCTTTTTTTTTGTCCCACAGTGAACAAAGTCTGTCAAGTTTGATGCTTTCACTGATTTGTTCACTTGGACATGCAAGCAGCAAGTTTCTGTTTAGCAACAGAGCCCACTATTTCAGCTCTGGAATTAACAAAAAAACCTCAAGTACAAAAACATTGTGACAAGGAGCATGCTGTTTTCAAAAGCTTTAAGTGGGCTAGAACCCTCAGCAGTAAGCAATGAGTTTGCTGTAGGTTACTAGTTCTTAAGATTAAGTGCAGCTTTGACCCAAGTCACAGAAACACTCTTGAAAGCTGAACTAGTATATATATGCCTGATAACACTTCCCTAAAGACCAACTTTCTTTTAATAGGACAGAATGAGGTCTTTATCAATACCAGCTGCTGCAAGATTCAGTGCTTATCATGAGGACTTCTTTATATAAAAAGGCATTTAATGAAAAGATTATAACAAAATCAATTAAAAATATGTATAGGTATATTTTTATTTATTGCTATTATTATTAGCATTCCACAAGAATGTCCTACCTGTATCTGGGCCTCAGCATCCCTAACAGATATATTCAAGGAGCTGACTGTAGATCCTGAGCGTGGTCTCTTCTCTTGTCTCAGGATCTCTGGACCAGCACTGAATGAATGCCTCATTTGACCTTGATCTATAAGGTGTTGTGGCCGCTGGAGTACGGGTGAATCTGGCCCTCTTGAACCCAGGAGCTCCCCTTTCTTTTCCACTTTGATCTCTTTGGTGAAGGATGTCATGGCCTGTTGCTGCTTTCTCTTGGAGATGGTTTTGTCAGTGGCTATAGTGTAGATCTTGTTGCCAGCGCTCTCCCACCATTCTTTTTTCTTGGTTTGCTCTTTTTTCTCTGGTTTAGGACTTAAGGGTGGGGGGAGCAGCAACATTTCTCCACTTCCTCCTCGAGGTGTCAGGCTGTCTCCCAGTTGGTCCCTGATTTGACTGCGGTCATCTTCTGATGGTGTGTCCTTTCCAGATAGCCCTCCAGTCGATGGGGTGGAGGTTTCTGAGTAAAAAGATGGTAAAATGAAGAAGGAGTCACCTTTGAATACTGGAGGCTCCTCTACATTATTCTCCAGGTCCAGATGCATCTGGATATAGTTGTTGCACAGTTCCATGCAGAGCTTATGAAGCCGCTTGATTAGCCACCCCCAGTCTGCATTGCTAACAGGTTGCACGCTCAGAGATGGTATTCGAGCCCTCCACTGCCTCTTCTCCTTCCCTCGGGGGGGACTGACCTGGGCAGTCTCTTCAAAAATGTCTTCGTCTTCTGAAGAACACTGCTGTGATGAGTCTGTGCTTCTCTCATCATCTTCAAAGAGGATCTTTTTCACTTGCTCTGCAGTGATGTTCTCCTGGTTTGTCAGGATTGCACAGACCAAGGCATGGAAGTAGATGTTGAAGCTCATTGCCGACTGTCGATACAAGTTGGCAGCTCCACTTATGCCAGATACTTTTTTCAGCAAACACTTCAAACCAGGTCTCGTGTCAAACTCTCTGGCTGTTCTGTAGGAGTCCAGCAGTAAGTCAAAGATGACAGCCAGGTTTTGCATGGAGATGTACCTGAGAAAACCAGCCAACTTGTTTTCTGGTACTTGTATTGTCATTTTCTCCTCCAAGTTAGAAGGGCCTTTCACAAATTCTTCCAGTAAGATGTCATATAAATTCTGGAGCAGTACTTGGTGGGACAGCAAGCTCACCACTATCGTCCTGAAAGGAATACTTGGTAAACCAAGCACAGGAAGGAAAAAATCACAGAATATTAAAGCGGTGCATTGTGCTTTCACTAGGAGTACAGAACTACTTTATATTGTAGAGTCTAAAACAAAAAGTGCAAATGAAAGGCCAAATTTTCACAGCCTTGTTACAAAAGAAGTGGAGAAAGATAAAGCGGTCTAGAATGGTCTTTCAGCTACTCTTTCAAATATTTTCCTAAAAGGGAAGACTCTTGGATTGGTTTAAGCAAAAATTGTCCACAGCAAGAACGCTAATGGCACTTGTGTAGAGATGGTATTAAAACAAAACTCTATTATAATTTTTGTCCTTTTCTCCAGTGTCTGACACTGAGGGATTAAATATTCTGGGTTTTAATTTTCTGGCAGCTGCAAGTATGCTCAATATTTCAGCCTGCTATAACTGAAGGACTTGTCAACACAAAAGTTACCCTTCCACCAACATGTCAGACAACCTTAACCTTGCCATGATAAATTGAAACCAAAACTAGTTTACTATTTGGTTTCCATTTCCACTAATGCCAAGAGTATTTCTTAAAATAAACCTCAAAGAGCCAACCAACCAATAAATAAACATGTACAGAAACAGCAGCAGTGCAATGCAGCATGCAAACAAGCTGAAGTCTGGCTGAAGGCACATGTTTGCTCTTAAGACCAACTTGAACACTGAGAAGCTAGCATGGAAATATCTACTCCTAACCCTGTTTCTCACATATAATATTCTTAGCTGTACTCCTGTTAGAGAGATGCTGGGAGTTGTTCTAGCCCTCACTCATATTTGATTTGCACAGGGGACCCAGGAATGGCAAATTCCTCCAAGAAAAGTTTTCAGGTCATTCACCAGTAAATAATAGTGAGAGGCTTACAGGCAAGTAAGGCTTGGAAGAAACGGTGGACACGATTGTTGTTTGGTATCTCATGGATTTAAAATTATAAAGTATGGAACCTATCTTAAGGCCTTTAAATAAAAGTCTTTGCATAAGACTGCAGTGGCTATGTTTTAAATGGAGCAGATGCATATAGCAATACTTGTTTTGATGTATGATGGGTTGTGTTTTAATTTGCATGGCTATCGAGTGAGGAAGAGATTTTTCAGTTTGCTTGCAATACTGAAGTTTTAGGTCTAAGTTAAAGCAAATCTTCGTGTAACATGAGAAGTTCAGTCGTAGACCTTTAATATTTTTTGTTGCAAAAATTATTCCCCTTTCATTAAACAACTTTCAAAAGTGTTTGGGAACACCAAAACAAGAAGTCTAATTTTAATTTTTTTTTTTTTGAGAAATCATATCAAAACTCGGTTTTGAGAATGAAACATTGAAAAAAAAAGTTCAGACTGTTCTTCTCAGTTTAAGTTACTCATGTCAGTTCGCTTACTATGACACAGCTGTCAGTGCTGATACGTGAGTAAAATTTATCTCACAGTGCTAAAATCTTGACGATTAACACATATAATGGTGCTCTTTATGGGGAAGTAGTTTTCTGCTGTAAAAATCATTAGAGGCTCTGACTCAGAAAAGCTCTTAAGAGCATGTATAAAGTTAAATGAGAGCTTGCAGTGATTTCAAGCAACTAATCCTGTTTCAAAAGCATGGTCAGGAATGAAGGAGATCTCCTTCCTTGTAACAGCCAAAAAAGCGATTTACAAGGACAGTGTAAAGTACTGCTCAATCCCAAAACAAACTAGTACAGCAATATAGGTGAAAACACAGTGTCAAAGCTGGTTAAGGATAGTATTTTCTTATTCTCCAAAGTTTCAAAATGAAATATATTATTATTTTTTAGGAAGAAGAAAAGCTCCCTTACCCCAGCTTCCTGTGAAACGATGCAGCATTAAGGAAACAAAAGCAAAAGGGAGAAGAGAAACCCTGCTAAGGTTAAAGTAAAACTTTTGAAAGGCCACAGTTACTAGCATGCATGACTGGCATATTACTGCACTGCTGTAGCAAATAATAAGAAAAACAGTGGCTCAGTCAACTTTTGAGCTATGTTTTGGTGAAAAAATTAGTATTGCTGGGGTAACGCTTACTGGCATATATACTTTTTGCAGTTGTTTAGACAAAGCGCAGTGTGAGAGCATTCAGAGTTTGTATTAATTGCAAGCTTTATACATTTATTTATCTAAAGATAAGCAAGACCCACACTACCTTTAAAAACAGAGCCTGTTAGATTGCATGGCCTTGTGTGCTGTGAGAGGTGAGTATTCCGGTCTTTCGCTTTGTTTCATTATAACAAGATGAATAATCTGCTAACCTTTGAATAAAGCAGATATTTTCCCACCACAAAGGAAGGGTTTAGACTGTGATCTTAAGCTTTCTTTGTCTCTGCACAGGGCCTTGTGCTCTGAAGGCAAGGAGACAGAGCATGTGCTCTCAGGGGAAACTTCTATAAAGCTGTGTAAGAACAGAGACATTTTCCAGTTCAGCCAAAGAAGAACCATCACATTCTGTCTCCTTGTTGCAAGCAATAATTTAGATTTGATTTGTACCACTCCCTGAAGTGGTACAGAAGTAGGTTTGGTATTTTGTAAAAGACAATTTCATGCCATATATTTTATACCTTGCAATACAAACACAAACCCTGAATGCAGAATTCTGATTCTTGGCTCTACTGATGTTACAGCAGTTGTTTAAAGAACTGAGTGCAAGCAAAAAGAAATATTCTTTGACAGGATCAGATTGTCATGCAAATGCATGAATTTCTGAGGCGGTAACATAATGGAAGGACTTCCACAAAAATAAAGTGCCAAGCAAAATCAATATTCCCTAGCTCAATATGTTGACAGTTTTTCACAGCTTTGGATGTGGTCTCTTCAATTTATACTGTTCCAGCTTATCCATTAACTTTTTTCACCTTCTTAATTGAGTAATACTGAATTTAAAAGACCATTAGTGAAGCAGACATTGGATTTGCAAGGTATCATTACAAACATAACAGTGTCACAAAACCTAATTTGATCAGAGTATTCATTTCTTTTTATGAGCTCTAGGGAGAGGTATAGTTCGCCAGGCTCAGTTCACATCTCTGTGTGGAAATATTTTTATCTTACTTTTAATGACATAGTATTTTCCTGAGAAGATACTTTACCTTCTCTGGCTATGCCCATTTGGTTTCTTATCTGGTGGCAGGTCAATGATGAGCACACATGACTGGGCATGTTCAAACCCTTCCTTGTTGCTAGGAGTCTTTGGGGAGCACTGAGTCTCCAGCATGAAGACCTAGAAAACAACAAGTTACATAAAACAGTCAGTTTAGCACTTGCACTGGGTTCTTGGGGGCACTTGAAAATAGGATTCCCTTCATTGCAAAAATCTGTCATGTTGAATTATTTTATAGTGATAGAGAGAATGCCAGGTATCCCCCAAGGCAGACCTTCCCTGGAGCATGCTGGTTTGGTAAAACAGCCTCAGAGCAATGGGCTACCTCCAGACATCCGTAGAGCACAGGGCAAAGGACAGACATATTTTCCTTTGAACTTGTATAAGGCATAGTACCAAAAGCCAAAACAAGCTTTCTGCTGCCGGTAAACTACTATAGAAAATATCAAGTATAGTGGAGACAAGGACCTGTTTGCATAGTTAGCCCTGTTGCACCTAGAAAGGCTGGTTGTCAGAAGGATTATTTTCAGCCATTAAGATACAGAAATCTAATATGCAATTCTGTGGGGGTGTGTCGTGGTTTAACCATAGCCAGCAACTAAGTGACACACAGCCACTGCTTACCACACCCCACACCCATCCCTCTCAAGGATGGGGAGGAGAATCAGGGAAAAGAAAAGGTAAAACCCACAGGTTGAAATAAAAATGGTTTAATAATTTAAATAAAATATAGTAATAACAACAACCACCACCACCACAAAAAGAGAGGCAACAAAAAAAAAAAAGAGAGAAATGAACTTGCACAGTACAGTTGCTCATCACCCACTGACCAATGCTCAGTCTGTTCCTGAGCAGTGATCAGCCCCTTCCTGCCAACTCCCCCCATTTACATGCTAAGCATGACAATCTATGGTATGGAATATCCCTTAGGTTGGTTTCCATCAGCTGTCCCCCTGAGCTTCTTGTGCATCTCCTCATTGGCAGAGCATGGGAATCTGAAGAGTCCTTGACTTAGAGTAACCACTGCTCAGCAACAAGTAAAACATCAGTGTGTTATCAACATTATTCTCACACTAAATTCAAACCACAGCACTCTACCAGCTACTAGGAAGAAAATTAACTGCATCCCAGCCAACAGTGGGAAATGGGGAGACAACTCTCAGTTGCTGTAGCTTTGTTTTGTAGCTTCATAGTTGCAGTAAATTCCCTCTGAGAAGGACTCAGGGAGTGCCACTGATAGTGTCTACAAGAAAAGTATAAATGCCACATTCCCTGCTTTCTTGAGTTCTGCATCTTTAAAACTGAATTTAAAACATTTTTTTCTATTCGAAAAATGTCTGCCACTGCCACATTATTTGTGATCACCAATCCTGGTCTGTGTGTTTCAGATTTTCAAGCAGCATCAGGGTATGATTTTTTAAGTCAGAAATTGATACCAAACATCTGTTAGCTGTTTTAATCTAGGTGCTTTCCCATGCTGAAGCTGTCATACAGTATTTACAGTTTTATGGTTCCCCACAGGTCATTAAGTTCAGTCTTCTGTATTTCAAAGAACTTGTTTCATATAACTACTTTCATAAAATGAATAACCTCCATTGTAGTCAAAAGGACCCTAAGAAAGTTGTCTCAAAGTCTGCTTTGCTAATGAGGAGTTAGTTGTGAGTTTTAAATAATTTTTTAAATATCACCATTATCCTCTAATTCCCAGCAACTCTTTTTCTTCTCTGCAATCTATATCTAGATATTTATAGAGAAAAAAAATCTGCATTTCTCTATAAACTCTGCTTTGATAGGTTAAACAAATCTTGTTTTCCTAGTTTCATATCCCCATCTCTGTTTTAGCACATTTTTTGTCCTTTGAATTTATCGTTCTTTAACAGAGTAAACAGAAATGTATATGACATTCTAGATGGGGATTCACAGTAACGTTCTGTTCCTCTATCAGAAAGGTTTCCACTGATGTACCCTAATGTTGCTAATTACACAATAATCTCATCGTCAGTTTTCCTCAGGTATTCATGCATCTTTCCCCACTCTAGGCATTCCTAATCCCTATTTACAGGGGGACAGTTTTTAGGTTTTATTTTCCTGGTTTTATTATTTTTTCTGAATACTGCTGTTAAATAAATAAATGTTAGTCTGGTGATGAGGAAGTCTTTACCTGTAGGGTTTGTGAGGAAGGTGGTGGCAAAAATTTACTTTCATAAAGTAAACCTCCAACTTCAAAAGGTTCTCTGACTTGCCCTGACACATCCATCAGTACCTGTTGTGCCATGGCTCTGATTCTCCAGTATTCCGCTTCAGCACTTGGCGAGAGGGAGGGGGCTGCCACCTTCACTTCACAGGCATCTCCACTAAAGCTTTCAGAACCACTGTGGAAATAGCCCAACAGGTTCTATAGAGAGACACAACATCAGACTTTCACTGTGCGTTAAAGAAATCAGTGGCTGTAGCAATGTCCAGCCTGTTTGTGTGAAATACAAGATTCAGAGTGACCTGTCCCATTACCATCAGCTGGTCACCTGCTATTTAGCAATTTAATACATCCAATGGAAAGGCACTACAGCTTCCTATGTACTCTGGCCTGCGATGATTTAACAGGATGTTTTGTTTACAAGACAGCCAGTGAGCCGAAAACTAATCTATATGAAGCATGCAGCTGCAGGGTTAAGTAAGCAACATCGTCTTCTCTCTAATAGTCAATCCAGAGGAAGAAATGGATCAAAAGGGAAGTTTTCACCTACTGAACTCTTCTGATTTCATGCTGGCAAGGCAATTTAAAATAAGTCTGTTAGCTACTAGTGTTGTCTGTTCTGTGTTTAGAAAAACTGGTTTCAATCTCCATCGTTGGTGCAACATGCTTCATTGTGAATTGACAAATTAAAAAAAGCTATGACACAATCTTTAAGCTTCTTTTCCTGGCTCTATACACAAAAACTTGTCTGAAGAATTAAAAAATACTTGTCAAAAATTAGTGAGTCTATAGTGTGATTACATTTTGACTGTAGGCAAAAAGGCAGTTTTACCTTTACTGGCTCCAGAGTGGCAGAGAAGGCATCCTGCAAGGCACAACAGGCAAGTCTCCACATCTCTTCTGTAAAAACAGGCCCTGCTGTCACTAACACATACCTGCAAGAACACAGAAAAATGTTACCATGTTCAAGAAGGAACTAGATGATTCTTACTTGTAAATGGAGAAGGTTGAAAATCCCTGTCTCTGGAAGAGTTCAAGGCAGGTTGGATGGGGCTTTGAGCAACCTGGTCTAGTGGAAAGTGTCCCTGCCAATGGCAGAGGTCTTGAAACTAGATGATCTTTAAGGTCTCTTCCAACCCAAACCATTCTATGATTCTATGAAAACAGAACAACAGGCTCATTTAGTAATCCAATCTCCTCAGTTGTTACCCTGACCTATTTTTGTAATTACACTGTAGTTTCGACTTTTTTTCTCCTTTGCTTTTTGTCTTTAAGTATTCATCTTGCCACAAGAACCACACATTGTGAAGTACATAAATGCAGTACTTATTTTGATTATGACTGTAATAACCTGAAGATTGTGAAAGATATTAATTACCTCTAAAGATGTGTGAATTCCAATGGAAAAACCCTTGAGTATTTTTGTTAAGGATCAATTATTGACTAACTAGATATAAAGTAATGTCCAAGAGCTTTTTATGGGAATCATACATACAGTAATGCCTAAAATCACAGGTTCTGAAGCACACTGAAAACAGCAAGAACAGGCTAGTAAGTCTAAAATTCATTATTCAAATAACAAGAAGTTAAATATATTGTGGACATCTTTTGAGATGTTGACCAACTTAATCAGTCCACAAGTTCTTCAAAGACATAGACATCTTTTTTTGAATATGCTAAGAGTGAACAGATGGGATTACCTGATACAAGAGCAGCCAACTCTGGAAATAATTTCTGTTGGTTCTGCCACACAGGCTACCAGCAACTTGAAAAGATCTTTCAGCATAGTATTGATCATATTTTCATAACCAATATCTATAAGGAAAAGACACAGGCTGTTTTCAACATCATTGCCTTTTCATTATAATTAGAGATACACAGTCTTGCTACACTTAAATGCTATTCAGAGAATTTGCAAAAACAAATTCTTTTTATGCAGCTCTTGAAACATGCGTTGCATCAAGTTGAAATAAGACAATTCCTTTTGATGTTAACAATATAAAATGTCTGGACTTATGTGGTACAGGAGAAATTCTCTTAGATCCTGTTTCTGATGTTCTAGTTCTTCATGATCAAAGTATTTGTATCTTCTTTTGGAAAGTATACTAAAGACTATAGTGATTTAATTTTGAAGATAGCCCTGCTCTGAGCAGGAAGCTTCCATAAACTTCCAGAAGTCCCTTACAATTTTTTCCCCTGTAATTTCCCTGTAATCCTATAAAGAATGAAAAATAAAAAATCCTAAACAGAAAATTTTAACCCTCCTCCTTCTCTTATTTTATGCTTGAGCAACCAAAAAAGCAAAGAAACCATCTCCACAAGTATCTATCAGTAACATGTCACTGATGACAGATGTGACAGTACAATGACATACCTGAGTGTATGAAATTTTGAATGTGCTCCACTACAAGTTCACAGGAAAGGCCAATGGCATGCTTGAAATTAGCAGATGCTACATCCCAGTAAGAATGATCACCATGGCTGCGATGGAGCCAAAGAGACATCGTAGGAAGAAGAAGATGTACAACCGCGTAAATGCCAAATCCTGGTCCTTAAAATAAACATAATGATGGTTGTATATTTTTGCTTACAAAGCCTCCATGCTCAGTAAATTTGCTAAGTTGTTCCAAGCTGAGACCTGAGGTAATGCTAAAGAAAGGAAGTTCTGAAACTTTTTTGTGGAATGAGAGTGGCAAGAGTTTTGGATCTAGTTGAGAGGTACTACATGAACATTTAGCCAACAGTCTCTCCCAGAAGGTCTGCAAGATTATGTAATTTTCTCTTTCCATTTCCTAGACACCAAGCAAACATTTTCTATAGCTAGGACATCAATAGAGTACCGCACCTCTCTATTTGTGCAATGAATTTAAGAATATGCTCAATATATTCTTACAAGACGACTTTTTTCAACAGAACAATGCAGTAACTGGAACAACAAATCCACTCTAAAAAAATCCCTTTCTATGAGAGAATGTCTCTGTGCAGCTTTAGCATGAGTAGCACACTTTACAGAAGGGGTTTAGGATTCTAAAAGGTTTGGGTCAGGACTCCACTAGCTCACGTTTTGTCAAGCCCTTTCATTACCAGGTGTCTTGGCAACATCCCTCAGCAGTTCAAAGAGCAGATCCAAAGTAGGAGGCTGGTGTTGACGGGGACAGTTGGATATGGCAGTTGTTAATTCTTCCAGCAGAATAATCCAGACATTGATAAGGCCTACAAGTAAAGAAAGGAAGATTAAAAACCATGAGTGAGATACTGCATTGACTGCAGGTGAAACTTGCCCTCAAAGTGATGGAAACAAATTAATTAAAGATCACGGGTTCTTGCATGTTCACTGTTGCTGTGTAATGGTTGTAGGTAATAGCCATTTTTGAAATGATAGTCTCCTTTTCCCACTCTTTTTATTAAGTTTCTGTTTTGTGCCATCCTTCCTCCTCCACATACACCTTATTCTGGTCTTAGTTTACTTCTCCCTATAATCCAGTCTCTTTAACCTTGTGTAAAATGTCTCATAAAAAGTATGTAAGTAAAACCATATCTCATTATCATTGCAAATGCTGCCCAGAGGAGATTGTACTCATTTAGGTTATGCTTTTAAGTAAGGCTCCTGAGGTGACTAGCCATAATTTAACTGTCTCTATTTGGTACCCAAAACTGAACAGTAAAATGTCTCATAAGGTATCATCAGGCTGCCTCACATTATCTTTAGATCTTAAAAGATCACAGAGCTGGACAATTGCCAGAACAGCAATTAGGATACAGGTGAGTTGGCAAACGTATTCCCTAAAAGATTATGGGATACAACTAATTTTCAATACAATTTTGAAGATGGCTAGGAACTGCTGCCCTTTAATTTTTCACAGACCACTTAAGTACTTGCTAGTTCCCTGTCATATCACGAACGACTAGAAGGATCTTGCGTGTTACACTCCTGCCAATGTATACTGTTATTCTTAAGCCAAGAAGGCTATGAGTTTATTAGGTAAAAGGAATTTTACCTTGGTTCACTAATAAGCCCACGTTGTCTGCCACTGGTAGCTATGCTGATGTAGTCTGTGTCTGCATGACACTTGCTGGTATCAAATACACTATGAAAATACACTGCAAATATGGCAAAGTAGGCTAAGACATTTTGCCCCATCCTGGTAGTGACTTTGAACACTAAAGCGCCAGATGAAGCACTGCCTCCTGTCTTTGTAAAGTCAGTTTGCCTAGCAATGTTCCAACACCATTACCATCTAAACAACAAATTGGGTGACAGTTTTAGTGCTTAACTGTGACAAAAATCAAGTCAGAAGGCTTCTTTGCTGTGGGATGGCCTTTCTATTCACAGGAAGACACTGATAGACAGAACCACTCCAGAACAGTAGGTAAAGCGTGTTCACCTGAGGTGGGGAGACCCTAGGCCGAGTCCCAAATCTGACTCAAAGCAGAGGCTTCAATGACTTGGGTCTCCCACATCCCAGTTAAATATTCTGAAATTCCTAGAGCGGAAAAAACCAAACCAAAGCCAAACCCAAACACAGAAAGAAGAAAGTAATAGCTTGTTTTGTGAAAAAATAGGACTTGTGATTTTCTGTTTTCAGAGAGCACCTTTTCTCTCCTTTATCCAGGGTAGCAGTGGAACAGGACAATCCATGTGATGGAAGAGTCTAGATAAAAGTAGGTACCAAGGGCCAGTCTGGTGAGGCACATGAATGACATGCATTGGAGTTAGCCTGCTTTCTGACAGGTTGGAGCTGATTCTTCACAGAAACAGTCTCTTTGGAACAGCTCAATAGTTCAGATATTCAAAAGTGACTGTATTGCTGTGAAAGCCTCCTGAGTTCAGAAGCCATAAGGCTGCATTCCTCTACCACTTGGCTCTGCACAGATCTATTTCATCAAACACCTGATTAATCCACAATCTATATAAACCACACAAATAATCAGGAGACAAATGTTGCTTGTTTTTTCTGGAGGTCATGGAGCTTTATATGGACTTCAGAAATTCACTGTTTATTTCAACAGACCACAGGATATAAGTTTGAAAACATTTAAACCATTATTCCTTATATTTCTAGACTGTAACTAAATACTGATATTTTTTTTCTCTTAAGGCAGGCCTGCCAATACCAACCTTAAAAGGTTTTCACTCCTTTACTTCAGCTGTGATCTAGAAAGGTTTTTTTTGTGTTAGGTCTCAGAAATATACACTGGTTGTATTATGAATATCAGGATAATAAAAATAATTATTTGTTAAAATATTGTTGTCTTGCCCTAGCAGACAGGTTGTATTTTTCTTATATACAAACTATATCTTTACATAAAGAAGGTGATGTGATCTGAACTTCCAAGCTCTGCGTGTGCACATGTGTATATGTAGACAACAGGAAGACAAAGGATGAAGTTTTTGCTTTCAGCAGTTGGCAAAATTTACAGCAACATGTGGGAGAAGTAATTGATTAATTCTGCACTTACTGCTTTCAATACACTTACCAGTGTCGTCATCAAAGTCAGAAAGGATGCACTCAATACCATCCTCACTGCTGGCTGACTGTTCCTGCGCTTTTCGGGGCAAGTTAACCAGCCGACCACTGAGGAAGATGGGTTTCAAGGGCATTTTATAGATTTTGGCTAACAACTTGGGGAGGGTAGTGGAGAGGAGACAGAAAAAAAAAGAGAAGATAAGTATATATAGGAAAGTTTGTAAAAGCTATCACATACAACACAAGTATGTAAAATAAAATAAAAGCTACGAAAACACAATTAAGAGTCCAGAAGTCTTCTGTTCATTGACAAGTAAAGGGTTGAGGGTGAAAGAGAGGGAAAGCAGCAATTTAAATAACACATTTCTGAGAAGGAAGTGTGCTCTCTTCTCACTTGTAAAGGGCAAATGTTACGACTCACTGATTGCACCTATGACCTGTGAAGCTCCATTAGCTGTACACAAAATATGTTTAAGCTCTGAAGGACTAAGTAAATACTGATAAAAGGACCTGTACAGGTTTACTTCAGAGCTTCATTGCCTGGGTTGTCCATCACAAAACAAATACAAACTGCTGAATTGTGCTATAGCTGGGACTCTACCAGCATTTTATCAGGTCTTTCTAAAGTAAATAATGTATTTGCAATATATAAACAAGATTTTTTTTCAGTCATTCCTGTTCTTCTTCTACTGGCAAGTAAAAAGATATAAATGGCTGCTTCTTTCGAAGAGGAGAAAATATTTTCTTCTCACTGTAGGCTGAGGTTTCTAAGGATGAGGAATAGTGATGTGGTGCAAACAGTGTATAGACAGAACATACATTAGACATATGCATGGATATTCACTAATTTTTCAGTGAACAAGATAGCAAATAGAATTTGATGTCTGCTGTTTATTATCCTGAAGTGCCTTATTCTTCCTCAGTCTGTGTAGTGAACCCACCCATTATATCTGAATTTAGATATAAGTCCTTTTAGCAATGGTAATATCCATTTTTGTGCCTTTGTATTGTACCCAGAAAAAACGTGTCTGGGGTCCAACAAAAAGACCTGCAGGTACTACAGAAATACAAACAACTTTATAAAGTCAGATAAAAAATTGTCCAGGTAACCCAGGATAATAATATGTGCTGTGTGCAAGGAGATTAGAGGAAACACCCTAGCATTCCAATTGTTACAGATTTGCCCCAAGCTTCAGATAAGTTTTGATGGTACAGATAAAATGCTTCTGTGTTTCAGAGGGTGTAACCTGTTGCTCTTAAGATCTGAGAATTCTCAAGTTGTTGTTTGGGGTTTTGGGGGGATTTTGGTTTTGTTTAGTTTGGTTTTTTTGTTTGTGGTTTTTTTGTTTTGTTTTGTTTTTGGTCTTTCATTCCCAACACTGTTACTGTTTAAGTAAGAATGAATTTAGCTTTAAATATGTCACTACTAGGTTTTGATTGTTCGCATTTTCCCACATGCTTCCTGGGTGTGTTTTTATATCATCAGTTTTCTCACAACTAATTGGCCTACAAGGTATAATATTCCCTCAGATATAGCCACTGTCCATTTGGCAGTGCAGGATATTACCATCAGAGTCATCACAGACTTTGTTGGGTTCATGCAAACCATCTCATGACTGATGCAAAGCCTGCAGGTTAGAACTGTTTCCTAGGCAAGGTTAATGCCTGTGTAAGATTGTTCATCATACCTGAGAACATCTCCTGAGGTAATCAAGCGCAGGAAGGCACAAGTCTGTAGATGCAGATCCTGATCCTGGCATACAGTCACCCACCTCCTTACAATCTACTTCCCCTGGGGACAGGAAAGGCAGCATTGGGAAGGACAGAAGAATATAAATAAACATAGAATTCGTTTTCCTTTTTCATTAGTTATGCCTTAATGTCTGAATAGAAGCCAGAAAACATCCTTTGTTTGATCATCTTAGATAACAACCACGTGATCCCCACACAAACAATACAGTAATACTGGTCACAGTTTGTCCACAAACTTGTATATGAATAAATGTTTTAATAACCATATGCCTATTTAATAACTGTTTAGTGAAGCCCTTGGGAGTTCTAATAATCATACATTATATTATCTGCTATATTGACTCCACTCCACTTTCTTCCATGAGTGTTGTAATTACTTGTTCATATCATATTCTTATTATTTGCTCAATTCTATACTCATTTTTTTCTATTAATTTGCATCCCAGTGCCCTGGAAAACTTTTATACCACAAGTTCTTCCTTTTAGTTTATTTACTGCTTAAATACACCATTTTATATTTTGTGCTACTATATTTCCTTCTGCTATCTAAGTCAGGCGTCAAAGTCTCACAGTTTCAACTGTATGATATATATCCTCAGACTGTAGTGCCTCAATATTGCTAGTATTACCAACTCTATGACATCAGCAGACTCTTTCTTTCAGGTCAGCTTCATTAAGTGAATTCCATAAGCAGAGCAGTTCCAAGGCATCCTGCTGCAGAGCTCCTCTCTGGACAACTCCCTTCATTTCACCATTTTTCCTGTCTGCACAGTCTGTCTTCCTCCCCTGTCAGCCAGTGTTCTGCCCACCTTAGAATACTTGGCTTATAACTATTTTTATGTTTTAGCCAAATACTTTCAATTCAGTGCCAAATTTGAAACTTTACTAAATGCCTATACATGTAAACATTCTGTTGTGTTGAGCTATTCCTCTCAGAAAAACCACAAGATAAATATGAAATGCTTTTATTAAGTCCTACTTTATTCTCCTTTCACTATATTTATTTGCTTTTTCTATGCCCTTAACGATTCCCTCCATAACGTATTTTAAAGTTTTGTCCACTATTAAGATCAGCCAAGTCAGCCAGTGAAGTTTGAATCCTTTACTTTTACATTAAATGCACATAGCACGGTATTTTCCTTGCTGAAGTATCCCATAGTCCTATTACCTTTAATACAAAAAAAAAAAAAAATTCTTGCTTTTGACATGTGACCACAAAGGGAATGAATCCAAAAAATCCGGTATCATGAATTGCCCAGAGACTTTGATCTTTTGAGCAACAAAGGTATTTATTAGCAGCTCTGGGAGCAAGCCAACTATTGCTGGAAAAACTTGCTCAACCGCTTCACACAAAATCAGCAGTTTTTATACAATTTTCGTACATGATTAAATGCATATTCAAGTAATTACAACATCTATCTATGCATATTAATAACAGGCGGAGTATAGATGGAGCTCAGGTGGGGCTTGAGGCGGTTGCTTCTCTTGGCCCTCAACCTTGGGGGTAGTTCTGTCCTTCCTCCCATGGGTCTGGGGGCTTAAACTCATCTTCCTCAGCTTGACCTTCCTTCTCTTCCATTGTTCTTGACCCACTCACTGAAGCTTGGAAAAAGCTTTGGCTCCTGGCCTGTTTCTTCTATTCAAATGTCTACCTTATCCTACTGCATCTTAATTTATTACCTCTAGGCCTATTACATGTTCTTTTACCATTCTCTTAAATTTTGGTCCAGTAAGTAGAACAGAACAAGCACAGATCATTTTGGATGTTAGTAACTTGTTAGCAGGCCCAAATTTCTTAGTTAACTCTTTTGGGCCTGGCCTCCTGTTTCAGGGTCAAAATTATCTCATGTAACTAAGAAACTTAAAGAAATATAAGACAGGCTTTTGAACTCTCCAGAAGTCACATGAGTTCCCTCTATTGGTATTGAACATGCAAGTTTATTTCTCTTTTGTAGTAATTATGGTTTGTCATCACAAGCTGAATTCTGCCCCCATCGAAATCGATGGTGAAATAGCTTAATAAGACAAGAGTAACATTAAAGACTAGATTTGCTGCAGTTAGGTGCTTTATTTAAATCAAAGGGAGTTATTTACAGACATAAAATCCTCTGTGAATCAATATACATATAGAAACCAAAAGCCCCATTTTACCACTCATCAAAAGTTCTGTAATTTACATAACCAAAATACCCCATCATTGTCACAGTTCAATGAATAGTGTCGAATTCTAATGATCAGGGTGAGTGTGGGGGCAGAACCACCCAGCATTTCCCTTTGTTCTGAATTTTGGCAAAGCACCACAGTTACTCTGTAGGGTCACCTTGACATGATGTTCTGGTCTCTGCTGCCCTCAGTAACACAATACAAAGCACAGGGACAGTGGAGTTAGTTGCAGTGCTCGGGACCTCACAGAAGGTTTGGCAGGTTTTCAGCAGTGCATATACCAAACTACTGCTGCTGAGGTGGGCAAGGGTAGAAAGGAGACGTGCCTTTCACCTCCGAACATACCCTATTCCGTAAAACATACTCTATTCTGTTGGAGACACTCCCTGGTGTCTCTGCACAATGCCAGGCCATTTCTGCAATATTCTAGGTTTTGAGTTTAGTTGTTATTTTATTATTTAAATGAATGTAAGCAAGTTCTGCTGCAAATTAAGATTAGACAAAGCAGACACTTAATTGTGAGATGCATCTTTGCTGCTATAAAAACTTGAAGAACTGAGAGTACTAAAAATGTTTACCAAATAATCCCTTGGTTTTGATTTTTTTTTTTTTTTAAGCATTGTGGACTCACATTCTTCATTGTCTCTCTCTTTTCTACCATACTATGTATTACACAACTGAATTATCCTCTTCTGCAGGATCAAATTTGACATATCATGACTTAATAGGAAAGGAAAATATTTACCCAGTCCTTTGACAAACTTCATAAGGCACATAATATAACTGGTGGCAGCATTGGCAAAGACCTGGATGCTGTCTGTGTTTAGAAATGCTTCGAAGACATCAAACACTGGAGCCTGGCGTTTTCCTGTGGAAATAACGAGATGAGAACTCTTCCCCAATCCCCATAAAAATGATTTTCCAACCATTTTTCAACAAATAAATTGAATCTGCAGAATCTTTTCTATTCTGAACAGAGACAGAAATGATCTTAAAAGTAAAACCTTCTGTTGCTCCTGAGGCAACTCATGTAGCCTTTCATAGGAAGTGATACAGATTCCCTCCTTCGCCTAGTCTATGACAAATACTAGCATATGCCTGTCCAAATGGTAAGAGCAGGTCTGAGCTCTTGAACTCGGCTCAGTAGCTAATACTTCTGTTTGGTGGAGGTTTATGTTTAGTTTCTAGTTTAGTTTTTGATAACTGCCAAGGTGACATCAATCACGCAGAAAACTATTCAGACTATACAGTAACAAAATAGCCTTGTTTTTCCCAAGTAGATGATCAGTCTTCAAAAGCTGTGTACACCTGCATTCAGCCATCAATTATAATAGATCTCAAAGACAAAGTTTAGGAAGAAACTCACGTCCCTTACACATGACTTGTAACATTTAAAATGCCTTTGAATGGGGCAAAAGAACAGAATGAAATTATTTTCCCATATTACTCCGTTTCTATACAAGCGAACATCTCTGAGAAGGGTGCACATTCTTGCAGCACTAGCAATCTGAAAACCTTGTGATTAACTGCCTGGACAAGCACTTGCCTAGATTATCACACTAAGTTACCCTAACGTTTGAGAGCACTAGAGTTCACACGATAAGGAAGACAGTCCACATGAGACATGCCAGTTGTATAGAGTCCGCTTTCCTTTCTCTAGCAGGACAGTGACCAGGGCTCAGCCAAGCTCAGTATGCCTGCACTACTGCTCAAAATTATTCACATAGGTTTGATGAGGTTCAACAAGGCCAAGCGCCGGGTCCTGCACTTTGGCCACAACAACCTCATGCAGCACTACAGGCTGGGCACAGAGTGGCTGGAGAGCAACCAGGCAGAGAGAGACCTGGGAGTTTGGATTGACAGGAAGCTGAACATGAGCCAGGTGGCCAAGAAGGCCAAGGGCATCCTGGCCTGCATCAGGAACAGTGTGGCCAACAGGTCCAGGGAAGTGATTCTTCTCCTGTACTCAGCGCTGGTGAGGCCACACCTGGAGTACTGTGTCCAGTTCTGGGCCCCTCAGTTCAGGAAGGATATTGAGGTGCTGGAGCAGGTCCAGAGAAGAGCAACAAGGCTGGTGAAGGGACTTGAGCACAAGTCCTATGAGGAGAGGCTGAGTGAGCTGGGGTTGTTCAGCCTGGAGAAGAGGAGGCTCAGGGGAGACCTCATCACTCTCTACAACTACCTGAAAGGAGGTT